ACACACACACTTTTAAATTAATTAACTGATTAAAATATATCCCTTATCTGCCACATTCTAATTAGAAATAAGTTGGGCGTCATCTCAATAGGCTATCGCAGTTGTTCAAGGTCCGGAAACTAAATTTGTCTGTGTTGGCTTCGGTATCTCAGTTTTCTCACGGCTTAAAGTTGCCAGAGAATAGCGTGTAGTAGAATCATTCTTGTCTGAATTCAAGAAACAGCTACGGCATATTTGCTCGATGGGCAACAAATCTATATTTTGAGTGCGCCCGCGAAGGCGAATATTTGAAGTTAGATAATTAGTAAATTTTACGTAATTACTTAGCAAAATATCGCTTTACGCTCGTAGCTGGCGTCCACCGCGGTCGATTACGTTAGGAGAAGGAATTTTTAATTTTTTTTTATTTCAATTGTTTTTTTTTTAATTATTTTTATCAGCCTTAGTCGTGGGTGAAACACCCTGTCTACTATACTCGTGACCGACAAAAGAGGGAGTTTTACACATAGCTCACGTGCTGGGCGAAGTACTCTTTTATAAATTTTGGTTCTCAAAGAAGAAAGCCATGTTTTTTTCTTCTTGTACTCACTTTGATAAAGTAACAAATGACTGAAACGTGCATACGAGTACAAGAATCTTCAGTGTTAAGGTGCAACCCCACCGTAAAGGACGTTTTGATTCTTTTTGACCGTTTCAAAACTTTTTTCCTATCTATTCTGCAGTCATAAAGTTCGTGACAAATTAAATACCTCTTCTTCAAGTATACTTTAATGTCTCAATATTACGTTTATTCTTAGTTGTTAGTTTAATATATAACGTTTAATAGACCACAGGTCCTGAAATTGAAAAATATTTGATCGATTTAGACGACTCGACGTCCAGGATAATTTAAATGAACGGTCTGTTTGATGTAGTGAATTAAAAAAAAAGTCAGCAATTAACTGTACGGAGAATGTACATTTTAACATTAAAAAATAAAATTTAAAATAGTGTTATTTCCTCGTGCTATAAAAACGGAATAACATCGGCTAACGAAAATATCGAGACATTAAATAACGAAGCACCTTTTGACATTACATTTTCCAGAAACGGCATATCGATAGATTACTCGTGAAGTTCAGTATTCAATCACTAACTTTTCCCATTCAGTTACGGCAAGTTGCAGTCTTCTAATATCAAACACAGATGGCGACACGTGTTCAAGAATAGCTTGATGTACAGTCGGCACGGAATGAAACGCGAACAGTGGGTGCATGGTTTTCGCTAGATACTGCACCACCTGAACCAGATGGGAGCTGCAAGAAGATGGCTCCTCCTTCGATGTGTTAGACTCTTGCTCAGTGCATCCAAACCTTTGGTGTTGCGTCTCTAGGTGACTCAGCGTGGGTCGAGAACCATGCACTCCTTGTTCGCGTTTCATTCCGTGCCGACTGTACATTTGTTGTCATGTGCCGCTTGGAACGCCATGTGAGAGACAGAAATGGCACCGTGTCAGATGCCTGGATGCCCGCAGTGAGCGAGCCTGTGATGTAAAAAACCGCAACTGCGCGTGGACCACAGCTGCTTTTTCGCGCGTTTCACTGTGCATCAGTATGACCAAATTAAATTTGACGCCGTGAAAGATACCGGCGGTTGACCCCCTGACTTGTCTTTACCTTAGATCAGGGCGCAGCCAGCACTACGGGCCGATGAAGCCATTCAAGCAGCGCCAAGACCGCACGCTCATGCAATTCGTTTTTTTTTTTGTGTGTGTGTGATCATCGGCTAAACCAAATATAGTGACATTGCGTCTTTAGTGTGTGCGTTCGCGTTTTTCTTGTCTTCATATCTTTAATTGCGCTCTTTCTTATGATGAACCATTACATAGTTGGTGAACATCTGAAAAAATATTGTATGCCAAAAAAAAAAAAGTAACTTGTCATTGCAAATTAAAAAAAAAAAAAGAGGAATATTAGAGCAGTTGTTTCAATTCTTTTTTTTTTTTTTTTTTTTGTTTCTAATCGTCAAATACCCGAATACTCGTAGCGACGCTAATTCTTCACATAATATGGAAAGAGAGCCCCGATTGGGTTCTCGAACCTTTTCGGTTTTGTTTTTATTGCTATGTTTTTATTGCGAACATTTTTCTGTCTATGTTGTCACAGAAGAAATTAATCATCTGTGCTCTTTATTACAATTATGCGAGTTTCTTTATTTTCATAGACGCCTCGAAGACAACGAGGCGAAACGCTGGGCTACATAAATCTAATTTTGAACGTCTGATCTCATTTCTGTTTCAGTTACGATAAAGAGTGGTAGAAACTGTTAACGTTCGTTTGCTGTATTGACGTCTAGCTCCTGGTTAGTTCAGTTGGCAGAGCGCTTCGCCATTCTTGGAGAGGTCCAGGGTCGGTTCCTGACCCTGGCGGATATTTGCAGCGGCGACAAGTCCGCTAGAAGCGAGTAGTGTGCTTCATTTCAGTATAAGTACATTTATTCACGCGTAAATCTGTTCCAACTTAAAGATTCCCCAAAATTATTTTATGTACTCCATGCCAGAAATTGTGTGACATGCGCGTGCTCAAACCCCCGTCGCTCCCCCCCCCCCCCCCCCCGTCAATTTCAGGAGGAAGAAAAATACCACACTGTAGCGAAGCACCACCACACACGATTTATTGCGTTCATGCACAGGTCTGGAAGGCGATCCTATCGCAATCTGTTGGTTCAGAATCACTCTAACCAAGGGCGGGGTTTTAAGAAATAATCCGCAATGTGACAAACTTTTTTTTTTTTTTTTGCAGCGAAAACGAGTAAGGCTGCTGGTTTGTTTTGGGTGTTTTACTGCAAGCTAGACCTTTGCGCCACTCAACAAGTAATGTTGTTATCGTTGTTGTTTTAAATCTGTTGAGTGCGTGTGCACCACCTCACTCTAACGCGGCTGTGTTGCGGAGAAGCGAGATACGCAAGATCGCAACGTACGTTGCAAGTGTCGCTTCTCTGCTGAGCATCGCGACGCGGTGAGAAGCGCACTTAACGGAGCTAATTAACCCGCCCGAACAGATCCCGATAATGAAAAGTCACGCGGAACTACCGAGTACACTAAGTATTCGACAGAAAAATTAAATTCAATAGTACGTTCTTCGAAGTGATAATCAAAATTTCTTAAGCTTGGCGCACGCCTACCGTGACGATTCGGGAATGTCGCGCTGCCTGTTCCTTTCAGTACTGAAATAGTGAAAGGAGCTTTTGGCGCAATAATGGCGCGAATTCCTCACATTCGAGTGAAATCTAGCAGGATGTAGCATGGTAAGCAGTTTGGCACAGTGTGGTGCAAATTGCCTAGGTATCACATGCGTGCTTAGGTCCTCATGATTTACTTGCAAATATTTGTTTAAAACCCAGAATAAAAATGTTTTACAACGCCTGAACAAATGATATGCTGCACTGCTTTTTGTTTTGTGTGTGTGTAAATTGAGGGAAACTTTGGTTACTTCAGTTAAGTTAGAAACCTTAATTTAAACACCCGAATAACTTATTCCACCTCGCCTGAGCTGATAGTGTACTGTACCACTGATTTTCGTAGATAAATTAAAGAAACCCTTGGTTGCTTCGGTGTATTATTAAGGGGGGACACTACCCAGAAAAACATATTTCTGCAAAACAAAGTTGTATTAAAAAAAATATTTACATCCACTAACATCTAGAGAGCATTCTGAGAAAGTTTCATTAACTTACACGGCATAGTTAATCTTTTATAAATAATGTTCGGTCTTCCGGCGCCAAAGAAAAAGGCAAAAATTAAAACACTTTGAACGCATTTTTCTGCTTTCCACTTTTTGGCATAAATTTCTGTTTAGGAAAACTATCGTTTGTTAATGGGACAAAAAGAAAGACTCATTCATGGTTTTTACTAACAGAAAGTTTATGGGCAATGCAAATTTGGAATTACTTTTTGACTTTGTGGATGTCTTTTATGAAATATGTTATGATTTTGTCGACAACATAAAAGACAAAAAACTTATTGGACTTCTCACTGCGATGTTAGCATAAAATAAATGACTTTCTAGAAATTTTGTTTTCACAGTTGTACCTTTCAGGCATTCTCCTGTAGATCTAGTGAAGAAAAACGTTGGGTATTACATTAGTTTTCTAACAATAGTTTTGCTAAACAAAGTCAGTGTGTTCCCGATAAAAACGACTATAATTTATTTTACAATTCAAGTACACAGATAAAACTTTGCACAGCATTCTGCCTCGCAACTGAAAGTACATACTGTAAATTTCATTCAAAGGTTCAAAAGGTTCAAAAGTTCAAAAGTTGACCCCTTTGGGTAGGTCCCCCCTTAAACACCTTTATGCAAAATCCAGAACACAATTCTCATGATTCACCTGAACTGATTGAGTGCTGTACCGCAGATTTTTTTAGTTGAATTGAAAGAACCTTTTGATGCTTCAGTGGACTTACAAACCTTTACTTAGACTCCAGAATAAAACTTCTCCACTACGCCTGAAGCTAACCTGTGTTGTACCACCTCTTAGCATAATCATAAGTTTTCCTGGTAAATTAAGAAACCTTTGGTTGGTTCGATCAACTTAAAACGCACTATGGTACCTCTCCACTCATACCGTCTTTCTAGTGAGTTGCGCAGTGACATCACTGGGAGTATCACGTTCGGTCCTCTTAGCATTGTTGAAGATCGCGGCGAGCGATCGAGACAAAAGACGGTCCGCCACAGGAAAAATTAGAAGAATGGTTTTGTTGACGTCACAAAAACTTGTGTAGTCCCAATGACGTGCGATTGTAATTCCAATAGCTGCCACACGCGGCTGCAGAACGGCGAAAAATTCGTTTTCTTCCCCTTTTCGAGCGCAGCGGAATCGTAGTATTTCGGGGGAAGGTGGAACGTTTCTTGTCACTTGTGCCAAGATAAACAATATAAAAAATACAATCCGCAAAGCCTTCCAACATTAAAATCGTTGCACTGCCACTCTTAGGAAAAAAATTACTCCTTCTGGTTGAAATGGCAATCACCTTGGTCTGTGACGTCACATATTTCCATGACTTTATATCTGTTCGAGACGTTTCATCTTTTTGCAAAGCCCCCCCCCCCCCCCCCCCCCTCCCCGCCTCCCTCCAAACCTTAAATCCGCCCCTGCGCAAGAGAAAACAAAACAAAACAGAAAGCTAAGGCGTGCTCGATGTGGTTGATTGGCGGTCCGCACGGTACTGAGTATTGTTTGTATACATTTTCTTTCTCCAATAGTTCGACTATTTTCCCTATACCATGGGAATCATGGAAAACGGTCACCAGAGAGTTTACGGAATGACGGGCTCACTCTTCGGAAACATCACGGCAGCATTGAACATCAGGTCTGGTGATAAGATTTTCAATGTGATGAGAGCATGCGCATTCTATTTTGTTGTGGTCTCTACGTTTGCATATAGCAAAACAAAACAAAAATAAATCATCACATGCTCTAACGACAGCATATCACTGATGGTTCGCGTGTCTTTCAGTTACAGAATTTTGAACAGCGTTGACGCCTACTGGGGGAACCTGTTGGATGACGGCAACTTCACAGGTCCTTTGGGAATGCTTCAAAGAAATGTAGGTTCCTTATTTTAAACTACGCAAACTCAAAAATATCCAAACCATGGCTAGCAAACATGTCGTGTACGTGAACCTCGCGAAATATTTCCACTAGCTTTATTAGATATTTGCGGTGCCAGGATAGTGACACAAATTTCTGCTGAACCCACCATTCTGTCCAGTTATCTCGCGTACATACGTGCAGCAAAACTGACAAGCACTCGCAAACACTGTAGAATATCAAAATATAACTTGATCCGCAATATTCGCTTATGCTTGTTATTCGGGCAGGTTGTGTTTAAAGGTCGCATACTGCACTATAAGTCTTGACACAATCATCCTGTGAAATGTACACAGGAAGCGGACATTGCCGTGGGCCCATTTTCCCTCAAAGTGGACTACCTACGTTACTTCTACACGGGCGAAACGCACATCTACGAGGACGTGCCAATCCTCAGCGGACTTCGGAGGCCATACCTGGCCGATCCCTTTTCTTCTGCCACTTCGTTTGAATCAGAAGTAAGCTTCTCAAACCAAACATGACTCTCCCAGTTTGTACACACGATAACCGTGTTTCATATGCCAAACAGACGCTGGCGCTGCTCCTTGTCACGATGCTTGTTCTGGTACTGCTGACGACGTTCTTTCAAAAGTCAAAGGTTGGCGAAGGTCCACTGAAGAAGCTTTCCACTTTTTTCTGGATGTACGTCGAGTCGCTTTTCATTGAGTGTACGTATTACAATCCCCTCTCGCACAAATGTTTGCATCAAAGCTTTTGGCAAATGTTGGTAGAACGTTGTCTTGTCCGGTCCACACCCCCTTTTGTGCCTTTCCTATAGTTATTAACTTTATAGACGATTGCAAACAGGGTATCTGGCGGCCGCCATGTACCTCCTCGTGTGAGCAAGCAAGTGCATTAGGCCGATCTCACCAGCCAGTTTGACTACGCCACTGCTGCCGCAAAGCATCGAGGGAACATTAGTCTTTCTGCACGCGCGACAACCCTGCTAGAGCTCTACGCGTGCTGAGCAAGAGACGACACGAGCCCCTACATGCACGGCCGTCTGCCTCCTATGAACTTAAGTTATGGCGGCACCACGCATGCGCCGAACGCTTAGTGAAATCGGTCTATTACACACCTGTAAAAGCTATCTTCACGCGCATGCTGCACGCGCTTGCACGGATGGGTCACCAGTCGGACGCCATGCTTGTGAACGTCTATACACCTTTTCATAAAAGAGTATGAGGGCGAGTTCGTTGATATGTTTGTGTTATGCACGCGCACTTTCTGACTGGCCGCAATAGACCATTTTAAAAAGTCAGAGCCACCTTGTGGCAGTCTCAAAAGCTCCGATAATATTGCTGCTCTAATGGCGGTGATGGGAGATTATGCTCGGCTAAATCAAGCACCCTCCATTTCATGAATCTAAGGCACGGTGTAAGATAATACTCTTCAGGTGAAGACAGCACGCTCCTCGCGCAGTGCAGATAGAGTTCGCTTTTCACTCTCTCTCTCTTTCTCTCTCTCACTATGGTTTCAAGCGGCGCCGGCAGATGACTCGCCGACCCGTGGGCACGGCAAAGACGGCTCGTGCCGCCTCATGCTCCTCACGCGCAGAGCTCCAGCGAGGTTGTCGCTCGTGCAGAAAGACCGCGGTGTACCGGCGTGTCATGGAAACGAGATAATTGTTTTCGCTCTCACACAGTTTCGCCGTTTGGCCGCCGGCGACACTGTCAGCCGCGGGCACGGCGGCCCCGGAATAATGCAGCCTTTCGGATGCCCGTCGAACGAACACTATCCGATTCCTCTCGCAGCGCGTTCAGCCCCGCCATGTCCTCACCTAAAGAGTGTATCTTACACCGTGATCTAAGGTAACATCGTAAAAGGACCAGCATTTTTTTTCTATTTCTACTTTATGCTTTAGAGGACGTTCGTTTTCACTGGTGTGGAGAAGTTGTGCAGTCCCGCCATTAAAGCGGCAGGCTTGGCTATGAAAAACAAATTGTGTGTATATTTATACAACCTATACACTAGTCTGCCTCAACGGGCGACTTGTCTCCCAGCTGTAGATGAGCAATTTAGACAGTGCAGCAAAAACCGTTAGCCTGGGGTCTTTAACGTGCACCATGCAGTAGTGATACACGACCGCACGCCGGGACAAAGCTCGTCCAGATCGAAACGGGCAGGGGTAGGGATTGAACCCAGGATCTCTGGGCTTTAGCGCGAGCTTTCGCTCCACGTGCTCCGAGCTGGTGTGCGCTATTTGCGGCGAGATGTTTCGGTGGCGCCCTCATTCGGTTACCTTTCGTGACGTAATTACCTTGTGAACAGTAAGTTCGATGGTGTTTGTAATGAAATGGTAGAAGCCTGAAATCATAGCGCTCTCGAAGCAGCACTGCAAGCACCATCAAAATTGAAGTTCTTACATTACTTGGCAGCATTCGGCCAATTGTGGTGGACCGACCTCAGCGACGCTTTCAATAAGCGCAGCTCATTTAATGGCTCTAGTGTGCGCTAGCCCACTTGGCCACCGATCCCCCTTTTTTTTTTTTTTTTTTTTTTGCTCTGCACAGGGTGAGTAGACTGACTTTCGGGGAGGGTCTATTGTGAGCGAGCGGTGACTTGATTGTGATTTAGCACGTGTGGACTGGGATTTTTGTAAATAATGGAAGCGTGCTGCCCATGTTACAAGCACCTAAGCACGAGGTCGCTGATTTGAAATGTTATCCAGTAGACCGAGCACTCGTGCTAGAAATGCATTGGATAAGAATGGCTAGTTTGGCTAGTTGGTTTGACATTATAGTGTAATACGCCAAAACAACACGAACGAAAAGAACAACACGGAGAAATGCACTTCTCGAAGCCAGGAGCGAGGGTCTAGCTCGCGCTTGTAGCTCTGGCTGCAGTCTCAGCATAAGGGTGAACGGAGTATACTTTAGCACTTTTCTCATTTTAAAGATGTCAGATTGAACGAAAGAGCGCAGTTCAGTTTGAAGAAGTATTGCAATAAATACCGCTCGAAAACATTTTCAACGTGTGTTGTCTTGTGCATTTTGAATATATTGGCTTTTGAGGTGAGTGAGCTTCTGACTACTTTAACAATGGCTCTATAATCGGTTGGCGAAATAGATCGTTTTACACAGCCTTTCCATAGACAAAGAGCCACTCCCTGATACGCTTCCCGGCAATCCAGCCCGCTGCCTGTAAAGGTAGCCGATCCCTGGTTCGTCACGATGCGCAAACAACCTGCTTAGTGCTCGAACCGAGAAGGGCTGCTTTTACATGACTGCGGACGAACCACTATCTTCGTCGTCAACCTGAACCCCTGTGACTTGTGCAGCGACCCGGCTGAAACCCCTGCGCGGCGCGGCTGCCCGCATCCTCTTTGGCGTGTGGCTGCTGGGCATTGTCGTGTTCAGCCAGTACCTGACAGGCCAGGTGAAGGCCAGCCTGATGGTCAAGGCACCGGTGTCACGCATCGACACGGTGACAGAGCTCCTGAGCCGAGAGCCTCCCATTCGACCAGTCACGCTCAAAGCTTCCCCCTTTATGAATATGCTTCAGGTACCACGCATTTCGAGCGGTCGACGACACTGACACAGCAGGGAGCCTTGAGAGGTCTTTTCCGCGTGATGTGCATGACTCCACTCTTCACGTCTAGCTCTTAGCCCATCCCCAAGTCATCAAGACCCTCTCCCCCCTCCCCCCCTAAAAAAAAAATAAAAATTGCTGGCTACGTCATTACCTCCCCAATATATAATAGAACCGCTTGTATCTTCGCACGTCCTGTCATTCGTATGTCAGTAGCAAAGGCCAGTGATATCGTGGCATCGTGTCTATGGTACACACCAAAGAACTGTCATGCGCGACAAATGCAGCATTGCATTCCTTCGCTTACAATTCGAAAGGGGCTGCATATGACATTTTTGTGAGTTGTAATATATATATATATATATATGTGTGTGTGTGTCTCTGTGGTGTGTGTGTGTGTGTATATAGTCAAACCCGTTTATAACGAACAGCAGGAAACGCTACGATCAGTTCGATATAGCAAAAACCATTTACAACGAACTTCCACGATGCGTTCGTTGTAAGGCGAGAGCTTCTCTTTCTTTTTCATCTCTTCGCTTCCGCCTTGTAACAACGCCGCTGGAATTTTTTTTCTTCTTTATTGCATGCGTGCAGATTTTTCTTGTCGCTTATCTCCCCTACAGAATCGCTTTTCTTCGTAGGCAACCACTTTGGTATGAAATGATTTTTTTTTTCTGTGCGTGCCTGCACAGTATCTTTTCTAGCTTTCTCCCCTGTTGAATCGCTTCTCATCGCTCAATTTTGTTTACGGCTTCAGCTTTTCGAATTTCATTTCTTTCCTACCTTTCTTTTTTTTTTTTTTTTGGGGGGGGGGGGGGGGGGGGGAGACAGGTTAGAAAACGATTGTTTGCACGTTTTTGGAAGTCTTCCCGGGGGAAAAAAGTTCGATATAGCCAATGTGTTGTTCGCTATAAAAAGTACTTTTTACGTGCATTTTTATTTAAACTTTTCGTGAGTTCCATATCGACGATAATTCACTGTACGTGGGTTCGTTCTACACGGGTTTCACAGTATGTGCATTTTTTTACGTCATATTTTTGTTATTTTTTAGCATGTAGAAGGTCGCCTTCTATACTATGCCAGATATCGCCGCTCTGGCTCATTAGTGATGTGGACGTAAACCATCCGTCATGGAGCCGAGACGGTCGGCCTCCCACACCAGATGGCGTGTTTTCAGTTCTCAGGGCTGGACACGTACCGGGCTCTGCACGAGCGGATCGTGCGATTCGCCGGTGAACTGCCCCAGTCCGAGATCTACACGACGAAGATTTTGCGCGACGTGCTCGACGGCCGCACCGCTATCCTCATGGATACCACGGGCAACCGCATCTCAGTGGCACGCTCTTGCAGCACCCTGGGAGGTTTTTTCCACGTGTCCAGCGATATCCTCGAAACGGCTGACTTCCGCTGGTACATCAACCAGCGGCTAGACAAGGCCCTCGTCAGAGCCATGGACGTCAGGTGAGTCGCTGTGGGTGCTCTGGGCACGGAGGATGACCGCACCCGTCTCGCATTCATACTCGTAGTGTGAGTGTGGTGCATTCTGACGCGAGCGAAATGCAAGCAAAACGCGAACGGGGGGTCGAAGCTGGCAGGAAGAACTTAAACAGTAGTCTGACGGAGCCCACGTTTCGTTAAAGGGACCCTGAAATCACATTTAAGCGTCTACCTTTTTTGCGGTTTCCACGTCTCTTGGGGTTCGGGCAAGCCAGCGGGCACGGAGAGAGTAACTAAATATAAATGCATCATATTTCAACCGGACGACGCGGAAACCTCCTCCAACTACGGGGGCGACCCGTGGTGCCGAAAGCGCTGAAGTCTTTTGTTCTGGGCTTACTACTGGTCAGAGCCGCTAAAATATTCTTTTTAGTCGAAATACAAAATGTAAGTGGTTGCGAACCGTTTCAATTATTTATAAAAGTAGTTTTTTAGCGCAGCCCTTAGGCGCCCGTTTCCGGCTTGAGCGGCGTCGCCATCGGCGTAACCGCGCGGTGCATTATGGGACGCGTGACGTCCCTCATAACGTCATCGTCACTGATGACGTCATCAGTGACGTCACTGATGACGTCATTGGCGTCCGCATCGTCATCGTCACTGATGACGGTATCACTGACGTCACTGATGACGTCATCAGTGACGTCATTGGTGAATGATCGGCATCCACATCGTCATCGTCACTGATGACATAATCGGCATCGTCATCATCACTGATGACGTCATCAGTGACGTCACTGATGACGTCAGTGCTGATGCCTCATCGGCATCAGCATCGTCATTTGTGACGTCACTAGTGATGATAACGTCATCAGTGACGTCAGTAGTGACGTCACTGATGACGTCATCGTCACGTGACCCCCGGTGACATCACGTGACCCCCTTGAGGTCAGTGACCCTCGTGAGGTAACGCCGCTCGGAGGAAGGAGTAGCAGACAGGATGAGGAGGCGAGGAGGAGGGAGGAAATATTTTCCCCTCAGTACCCTTCCCCTTTTCCTCCTCAAGAGCTGCGCACTAATTCGGCGTTACAGGGCTTTCATTGTTTATTCAGTATTTTAGATCAGAAAAGAAACAAATGCAGCTTATAAAGTACAGAAACAAGAAATGACCAGTCGACTTAACCGCCACCAAGGGGTGGAAAAGGCAGCGCATACTAGAAAGGTGTAGTGGGACCAGGCACCGACGAGCGGCACGCGTAGAAAGGTCCCGGATGTACGCGGCGACTCTGCGGTCGAGGCTCCGACCGGTTCCGAGCGTTCCGAAGGCCTTCGGCGAGAAGGTTTGGCTTGCGGTTTGGCCGTTTGGTGGTATGGCAGCGCGAAGTGGCTCCCGTTCTGAACTGATCTTTACCCCGTGTTTGCTGTCCTTTGTCGCCAATTAAGTGTCACGCCGAATTAGTGTTTAATCGCGCAGCAAATGCAATGCGAGCCGCCCTGGCTGCCCTTTTCATACAGCCTATCCAGAACATGCTTTAGTGGCGCCCTCTCGCGCCGTCGACACGGAGTGCGGCAGCCGTGAGCGCTCGCTGAGCTCACAACTCCTCCTCTAGTTCACGGCCACTCAAGCGACCAAGGACGTCATGAAGGAGGTTATTTTTTGCTTGTTCTTGTAATTTTAATTTGTCTATAACTTTTCAAATAAAACGAAATTCGAGAAGAGAAAAGTTTCAGTAAGTTGCTACGTTCAGTGCCGCTCAGGTTCGGTGCAAATTAAAAACCAGTAAAAAAGTCCTAGCAGGGCCCCTCTAAAAGACCATGAAGACGCTCGAAACATCGGCTGCCACTACCAAGCTTCTGAGAGACTCCTGTTGTAGACAAAGGACGTTACAATATGAATAATGTACAACCTTTAGGGTATTATAAATAAATAAATGCTTTGTGCATGAATGACACAACCTGCTCGTTGCCGGAGTCGTGCCGCTGTTGATACATCCATACTCAGTGAAAATCACAAGTTGAACTTTTGAAGCGAAGTGTACACGGGTCACGATTCTTGCGTGACGAGTTTTCGTAAGTTCTATCACTTGGGTTCCTATTTCCATCAAATCCTCTGCCACTTCGCAATGCCAAGAGGACCCACAATTGATTTGCTTAACGCAGACACCGGTCATTCTCCGGCTGTAGTCCTTCACATACTTGAGCCACTGAATTGTGTTTGTGAATTCGAATCTCGATCATGAATCAATTAAGGGACCTGAATAGAAGGCCTGTGCATATTACTAATTTAGCACGTGCATGTCGAGTAATAATATTTAACGTAAAAGTGTCTCGCATCAATGACAGCAGATAGTGGCGGGATAACGCGGCGCACATACTAAAATATTAAAAAAGATCACCCTCTACCTTTACCCTGGAAAGGCGCTTTGCCGACGAACAGGACAACCAGAAACACGAGGAGCTATAACGGTAGAGTCAATTTCAACAGTTTTGAAGGCAGCTGGTACATGCCCGTCGAACTCGCTATGATCATAAAAACACACACACACACTTGTCTTCGGAATTCGCGGAACTCCGCTTTTTTTTTCCCTTACGTTGAGTGCATGCATCGGAGGCCGGGGCCAAAAGCGACTCAGCCATTGTCCGTTGTGTCCCTCGATTTTACTGCGCTCAGAATCCGTTGGTTGCTGGAGGCCGGGGTGCCCTTCATGCGGCACCACGAGATGTTTCCCCAGCCGGCCACCTGCTTCCTCGACTTCCAAGGAGCGCCGGGAGACCAGTACGAAGACCTCAGGTTCCAGGACCTCAGCCTGGCCTTCATGTTCCTGCCGCTGGCCGCCGCCTTCACCCTGCTCGTACTCGGCGCCGAACTGGTCGTTCACCGGTGTGCACGGCTGCGACGTCCTCGACTTGCACGACGCTAGTCGAGGCGGGCACACCGGAGCCACGCACCGACGACTGGTGGAAAGGACTGGCACGCGGGAACTCCCGCGCACCTAAATATAGTGTTCAAAATAAGGTCTACGCATGCGATATGCAGTTCCAGTACAAGGATTGTCTCTTGTGCACCTTACAAGATGATAAACGTATTTCTATTCAATATTTTTAAGACACAGAAAATTCAATTTCCTAGGGTTTTATAACGCGCACATGAACGCATCGTATTACTTAGCGCCATAGTCACTGTATCCGTAGTTCACATTAAACAAATATTAAATATACATTAAAAAAAAAGTTCATGCCTCGGTACTTGCCGCGCCTTCCTCGGGTAGCTAGGTTCCCAGACGTTGCATGAGAGATGACTAAACTTCAGGGAGACGGAGAAGCACTACTCTCTTTCTTGCAGTTATCCTTTTTCTATTTTTAACCCCGATCCTAAGCTCTATACTCCGTTCACAGTGGGAGCTACGTGCGCGCCGGACCAATCAGCCGCCTTCCTCTTATCACTTGACCCGGCTCTCCGCGCGTGGGTATGGCCGGGACCATGATGACGTCGCGAAAGACAGGCGTATGACTGGTCCAACGAGGACATAGCTTCCAGTGCAGTCTCAGCTTAGGGGTTCAGAAAGTACGTAACTTTAGGATGACTCTGTAATACCTTTTGCCAAATATGGTATGTGCTGCCACCTAGATACACGACTGGGTTTGAGACAAAGTGGAGAGAAAACGACGCTTTTCCCACTCGTTCGACACCCAAAACGTCAGCTACATCCTGTTTGCCCATTGAGCCGCATTGACAAAGATACGGCTCCCCCAAACTCGCCTTTTTCCCCATCGTGGTTTATCTTTTGCCCCGAAGTCGATACAAAGAAACCATCTACCCTTTTTGCTCGGCCAGAAGGAAGAGAGAGAAGGTACCAGATCCATTTGCACTCGAACCGATATTTCTGTGAAAGGCCCATTTGATAGTCCATCCCGCTCGCAGCCTGCTTCCTGCCTGTTGGTGGTTGTAATCTTTGTGCTCATGAATGCCAACATGAGAAAGATCAGACAGACGAGGTATTGGGTGCCCTCAAAGCTCAAATACAAGGAATTAAGCAAGAGTGTGCTGGCATAAAACAGGTTTAAAAATAGTTTGCAAAGGTTTCGGCAAAGACCGAGGAAAACACTGCTAGCCTAGACTTACTAGCACAAACATGCGAGTACCTCGAAAATCAGTCGAGACAAAATAACTTGCTTTACAGCATTCCCGATGCCCCCGGTGAATCTTGGAAACAATCGGAAGAGAAATAAGCTATTAACTTCTGTGAAACCAGGTTGCATGTCCATCTTTTGCCTCCAGCTGTTGAACGCGCTCACAAAACAGGGCCCTAACGCGGAAATGAAAAAAAAAAAAAGCAATTCATTTCTTACAAACATAGAGAACTCGTGCTATCAAAGGAATCGGCCCTCAAGGAAACAGCATTCCGCCCTAGTGAAGACTTATCGCCAGACACACGTGCAGCTAGAAAAGCGCTGATATCGTTTGCGAAAAACCAGGGGAGTGAATTTAACCTACGTCAGGATAAACTCTTACAGCGAAGCTGTTACGCGCAAGAATCTGGGGAAAAAAAAAGCGTCTACGATTGTTAGCAAAAAAAAAAAAAAATCTCCCGTTTAAACGGTGCTTCTTTGTTCCGATTGGTCGAGGCAAGCATAAATAAAAAGAGGTGCACTCTAAAAAAAAAAAAAAAGGATATCAGCTTACACCCTTTTGCCCCATTTAATACACCCCAAAAATTCAAATTTACCGTACAGCGCCCTATAGTCGAACAGACGACCCCAAATTTTACGAGGGGCTTGATAACGGTGCGATATAACTAATAAATAGCTAGCGTACGTATCAAAGACCACACAAAGAAAACACTGAGCTTTTGCAGTAGGGCCAAGAAAACCCCGATTATTTTTTTCTTGTAGTCAGTAATATGTACATTAGCTATTTTAATAAGTTGTACCACACGGCTATCAAGCCCCTCGTAAAATTTGGTTCCGTCTGTTCGACTATAGGGCGCTGTACGGTCGAATTGAAGTTTTGGGGTGCATTATATGGGACAAAGAATGTAACGATAGACCCTTTTACACCCCTTTTCGTAGTGTGGCAAAGCAACCAGCGTGAGCCAGCCTTGCCAAAGAAGGCTTCATTGGCATTATCAGATAGTGAGGTCCTGATCCCTTGATATCGCCTACGGTCATTGACTTATCAGCTAAGAATCAACTGTGACGAGGCTGAGGGCAGAACGCGCCGATTAGCCTTCTTTCGCTTGCGCGGTGCTGATAAAAAAAAAAATGGGCTCCATCGAAAAAAAAAAAAAAAAAGAACTGTCCTCGAGATTTTTTATATTTTCTTTTTTAAATTGGAAATAGACAATACAAATTCGACAAACGTTCCAACACTGTCCTGCCTACTCAGACATAACAACCAATTGGCATATCCATACAATCGCTCTACGTGAATCTCATTTCTTGTAGCCAATGCATTTATCTTAAACAAAACGATTCACATTCTCTTATGCATTCATGTTCTACCGACGTTGTTGCACTAACTGAATCATGGTTAAATCCCAACATACCGAATTCTGAGCTAAGGGCACTCGCCTCTTACAACATATTCAATAAAGACAGGCAAGGAAAGAGGGGTGGAGGAGTACTCATTGCTGTGGTGCGTGCGCGTTTGACGCTGTCTGATTAGTGCCATGAGCTCGTAGCGTTGGCTGCGTCCGTACTTAAGATAAAACGAAGTATAGGTGTTCAGACTTTCGTGAAACCCAGGTAAAAGCGTGGCCGCATAGCTTGATATTGATTGGTTGACGGGTGAGAGAGGAGAAGTGAGGTGCTCGACGCTGATTGGTTGACGAGGTGGCCATGTGTCCAGAGGGGTAGGCGAGATGTGAGGTAAGCGAGGGGGAGCTCGACCACCTGTGCGCACTGAGGAAGGGGAGGTCGAGAGTATGGAAGGCTTTGAAATGCTTGCTTCACGGCTTTCGCAAACTCGATGCCACCTTCAAGGTCCCCGGACAGGGCCGGATTAAGGTACGGGCTAAGGGGGCTGCAGCCCAGGGACCCCGACCCTCGGGGAGCCCAATGCTGTGAGTCATGAAAAAAAAAAAAAAAGTTAAACATATATTTTTCTTTATAAGATAAACAAATAGACCGATCTCACTAAGTGTTCGGCGCATGCCTGACGCCACCGTAACTTTAGTTCACAGGAGGCAGACGGCGGTGCACGAGAGGGCCCTTGATATCTCGTGCTCTACATGCGGAGTGCTCCAGCGAGGTTGACGCTCGAGCGGAAAAACTAAAGTTCGCTCGATGCATTGCGGCAGCGGCGCCGCAGTGAAACTGGCTGTGGAGATCGGTATAATATTTTGGAAAATATTCCCACTGCATTCGAGACGAGAGGCATGGCAAAGATAGTAGCACTGCAAGCGAAACCAAATAACATTCTGCGCGGCGACTTTATTTTCTTCATTCGTTTTGGGTTGGTGTACAGAAAAGCCCCATAAATTTGACGTGTGACCGGCCTCTCGCGTTAATTCTCCGCGTTCTTCTCAAAGCGGCTTTGAGGAAAAGAGGTTGCAAAGGCGCCCCCAGCCTTCCGGGGTTTTCCGTCCCTATTTATAGAAAAATAAAAGGGAAACATCAAATAATGTCTCCCTCTGTTCGTGTGACTATTGTGATATTGCCAACTTTTATAGTGCGTGCAAACGTGTTTTTGAAACGCGGTCTTTGAATCTGATGTTCCTTAGCGAAGGGGACAGGGGTGTTGTTACTGCGGGGGTCTAAATGACTTTATCTTAATTGAAGCCAGAAGGAAGACATGAACCTTTTTTTATGTGACATTTTTTTACGCTTGTTTTAGGGAGGATAGTGGGCTTTTAGCCAATCCGTTTTTACGCGGAAAGCTGCAAACATAGTTTTACTTCTTGAAGTGTTCACTGTTTCCGTATTGGACCTTTTAGGAAAGCGCAGACCTTTGAGCAATGTGGTTACCGTTTTCTTTATAACAATGAGTTTGAACTGTCCCTGCCTATACGCCTCGCAAGTGGGCTCATTTTCGTCTTCTGCGCATAAGAAAGGAAGTAGCGGTGACGTCAGAACGCCGAGCCCTGATTGGCTGATCGCGACCCCCTATCTGAGCGTCGTCTGCTCCTTTGCAACGTCGTCTGCTCGCAACGTCGTCTGCGTCTGTCTTACCTTTCCTGCGACTTTCGGAAGTGCAGGTCTTTACGAGCGAGCTCGACTTCGCGCCTTTCAGAGAGGGCAGACGAAATAACTCGAGCGGTACGTTGTTTTTGTCTAACAACTAGCAGACGCGCATCAAGAAGGGAAGTCAAAGGACTCACTGGCGAGGTGTCCCAAGGCGCCGAGGTTTGTTTGCTAAGAACCGAGAGGTGAGCGTGTTAGTGTCCGCAAGTTCCCTCCCAAACACTTTTCCCCTCCTTTCGTGTGCGGCGAAACCCCTCACCCTTTAACGGCGATGGCTGTTTTACCTTTCCTGCGTCTGTCGGAGATTCACCGCTTTTTCACCGGCGAGAGTCACCGTTGCCTCGGGAAACAAGACGATAACAAGAGGAAGAAATTGACCTCTTAATCTAAAATTGAGGTCAGCGACCAAAGTATAACACGGGAAGGGTTCACAAGGGTCCCGCGGGCATATTCCATTCAGCACGCCAGCTGGTCGTGGGCAAACGGTCGCCAAGTCGTGGAGTGCTTGCTAGGCCTAACTGCTGAGCTCGCTTGGTCGCGTTCGGTGGAATCGCGGCCGTTGGAGCTTTTCCCGGGTGTTTGTGGATCCAGCGTTCTTGTTCGTCGTGGTCTGTTTCAAGTGCTTTTTACTTTTTTCTTGCTGCTTGAAGGCGGGACGAGTGAGAAGCGCACGTAGAAAAATAAACGTCCATGGGTCGTCGCGACCGCGACGCTGTCGTCCATGCTCATTTGATTGTAGGAAGTGCGTAAGACAGCTTCGGAGCTCTCGTAGGATTTCGTCGTAACCTGCGCAAAACTTACGAAAATTTCGTTTCGTGAATACGAATTTGTTTTTAAGTTTTGTCTTACGCACATTTTTGGCGTAAGATCGTTTCGTGAATCTGGCCTCTGCACTTCCGAAAGTCGCAGGAAAAGTAAGACAGACGCAGACGACGTTGCGAGCAGACGACGTTGCAAAGGAGCAGACGACGCTCAGATAGGGGGTCGCTATCAGC